ACTGGAGAGTGGCCAACCCATTCCCACCACACACAGCATTCCTGAGCCAGGCCGGCTGCATCTGTCTCAGGGCATTTCCAAGAGCTGGGTTGTGCCAGGGTGGTTGTGGCACACAGCAGTAAGGAGAATCCCCTGAGGATGGAGGCACAGTGAGAGGAAAAAAGGGCTGGGTTTCCCAGTGGCGAAGGGAGACATTCATATGTGGGTGTTATTGCATTTCTGCCAGCGACACTGCAGGATGGCGCCAAAAATGATGGCACACCTGAGGTGGGACAGCCCACTGAAGATCCCGTGCTGTGACACAGCCCCAGTGAGAACCAGTCTGTCTTTAAAGATCCCGTGCTTCGACACAGCCCCAGTGAGAACCAGTCTGTCTTTAAAGTTGTCCTGGACTGAGTCTGGTGATGTCTCAAGACTTAGATCATGACAACATACGTCCCATCCCAGCCAAATCTTCCAGATTTCAGCAAGGCAGCTCCAGAGGTTGAACTAAGAGAGATTGGGATCCAAGAGTCAGCAAATCTCCTTTCCCCAGCCTCCTTCATTTCTCTCAGACTAACAAGCCCCAAATATCCATCCAAGAGGGAGCTATCCACATGGTCCACTTAAAGCCACTCACAGAAGTTTCCTTCAATCATGGCAGAGCTTAGCCTTGACCCCTGCCCTCACTGGATGATGTTGTCTGGCTGTCCATTCTGAGCCACCTGTCCAGGGTCAGGGACTGGGGCTGGGGCTGGGGTGGGTGTGTTACTCTGTAGGTAGCGTCGGAAATCTTTAATCCTGGGCAGGAAGACCTGGATGAGGACACTCAGGGCTGCCTGGGTGCCCTCCATGGCCTGGGCCTGCCGCTCCTGGGCACAGGCCTGCACCTCCTGGGAACGCCGGATCATCTGTAGCAGGTCATTCTGCTGTTCCAGGTGCTGGGCGATCTCCTTTATGTGTAGGTTGGTGACCCGCTGCTCCTGGATCAGCTTGGCAGAATTGAGGGCAATGCGGCTCTTAAGTGCCTGCGGTTTGACAGATGTGTCTGCATGCTGGGCTATCATCTCCACCGGGGCCTCGGTCGGCAGGGGTTGAGGAGCCTCGGCTGTGCAGTACTCCACCACTCCCTCCTCCAGTGTGTGATAGGTGGCCTCAGTGGGGACTGTCGAGAAGAAAGAGTAAAAGCAGAAGCAGATCATCTTTTGGAAGGAATGGTAATGGCTCTGCAACATAGGTAGGAGGCCATTAAACCCTGTATAGCAGGGAGGCAAAGGGGAATTCAGGCCTCCCCTTGCTGTATTGACATAAAAACACAGTATCTGAGAGGCTCAGCTCTCTTTGTTCCTCAAGGCTGGGATAAAACCCAGGACCTTGTATATGTTAAGCATGTGCTGTACCACCAAGATACTTCTCCAACCAGGTTTCAGAATTTTACTCTATTGGTAGCCAAAGAGAAGCTCCCAGATCTGACAAACACAGAGATGCAAACAATAATGCCAGCAAAACCTTAGGATACTTATGTACCACTCTGTATTCATTAGCTCAAGGAACCCTCCAAATGACAAGAGTTAGAAACCACGTCTTCAATTCCAGAGACAATGAAATAGAACCACTTCTTTGGGTGGCTATGAGCTATGTCTATCCCTTCTGTATGCCAATCAAAGAATGAAGGGCCATAGCAGTTCACATGTCCAGAAAATGCCTCTCTGTCTCTTTAATCACTTTGGTCTTTAAGATACCTAAACATCTAGCCTGGTAGTGGTGCACATCTTTAATCCCAGCACTCAGAAGGCAGAGGCAAAAGCATGTGAATCTCTTAATTCAAGGTCAGCCTGGTCTACTGAGTGAGTTCCAGGACAGCCAGGGCTACACAGAGAAACACTGACTCAAAAAACAAAACAACAATAAAATAAAAAACCCAAAAAACAAAAAACCTAAAATATCCTTGAAGATGCTGTTCCAAAACAGTACCTGACTTGGACCTGTGCTTTTCCTCCTCTTCCCACCTCGCAGGGGAGACCACACTCCCACACACCACTGAGAGTCTGGTGGATACAGTTCAAAGCCTATTGTGACCGAGCCAGTTCACAGTTGTGGGCACACATCCTTATCTCAAACATAAAATCTAACTAAAGTTAGCTCTGTTATTACTTATTGACGAAACTCCGTAGGGACATTAGGTGTTTGGACCTTCATGTACATGGGGGATGTCAATCTTGTTTGCCTTTCCACAGACTGTGTCTATATGCTCATACATCCGTAGGTACACATGCGTGTCTGCGTACACATGGAGGGGGTCAGAAGACAACCTCAAGTGTCATTCCTCAGGTGCTGCCAACATCTTTTCCTTTTTCCTTTTTGAGACAGAGTCCCTTCACTGGGCTAGGACTCTCCAAATAGGCTAGGCTGGCTGGCTATTGAGCCCTATTGATCTCTTGAATGGTAGGGTTACAAGTGTCTAACTCCACCTCCTATTTTTCTTACCTTTGAATGCCATCAACCCTGTGTTTCCCTCACACCAGGAAATCCCTTTCCTCTTGTGAGACCTTGGGTTTTCCCATCTCATAGTAAAGCTATTCATATATATACCTCATCTGCCCTAGTAGTATATAACTGGCCTATATATTTAATTTCTGCGGTGCCAAGCAAGTACTCTACCACTGAGCTATCTCCCAAGTCTCCAGGGAATGTTAAATGCTTTGGTATTTTTGGTGCCCAGCATAAATTTCTTGATGAATGGGTGACTAGACAGGAACCATGAAGATTCTGAGAAGTGCCTGGTGAATGTTTGTGTATTGAAAACACAGAATATCTTTGTGCAGAATGGATGTCTCCCTTAGGCAGTATTATTCCTAGCCAGTCATTCAACAAGTATATCCTGGCTGCCTACTAATACAGCAGATCCTAAGTCCCATGGGGCTACAGATATAGTCTGGTCTTCAAGACTACATAGGTCAGCAAGTGGAAGTCATGGACATCCAGCTATCCACATGCAGAGGAAGTCCCCAGAAGAACAAGATCACTTCTGTCTGGGGAGTTCTTGGAAGGCCTCATGATCTTTCAAGATCGCCATCTCACTTTTGACCCTTGGCAGCCAATATGCCCTGGGCTGCCCCAGTACTTGCTGGCCCTTCCCATTTATGCAGCTGAACTGATCAGGAGAGGTCACTCACTCTGTGTCAGGGTGACCGTGGTTGCAGCTGCTGTGGCCGTGGGTCCGAGGGCCACGGGATGGATCTCTGTGGTACTGGGCAGGCTGATGATGGTTGCTTCACCCAGCAAGTTGCAGATGCGCTGTTGCATAGGGGTCAGCAGTACAGGAGCTATGGCTGTGCCACCACTGCCACCACCTGTCCCAGGTCCACCAGCTCCATCCTCTTCTGTGGTCCCTGGGGCATCTCCACCTTCTACTGCTGCTCGGACTTGGGCAACCTTGCGACGGACCTCGGTCTTGAGGTCGGACCACTTCTTCTTGACTTCGGGCAGCTCCCTGCGGCAGGTGGCCACAGCGTTGACTCTTCTCAGGATGCCATGCCAGGCTGCACTCTTGGCAGCCAGAGGGACCCCAGCATTGAAGTGGTTCACCAGCAGGTGCTTCTTCAGCTCTAGTTCTTCCACGATGATCTCTACCTCCCGCTCTGAAAAGTTCATCTTCCTCTTCTTGGCTGGGACAGCCATGGCCTCCCCTTTCCTCTTTTTAAAGAAATTATGTCCTTAACAACCCCAATTTCCCTCCTCTTTTTCAGCCTCACTTCTCGCCCACTTTCCAACCTCCTCCCCCTCCCCAAAGGGGGACAGGCAGTGCTCGCTCGAGGCCAAGCACGAGGCCTTAAGTAATCCCCCTCGCTACGCAAAATGCGTAGGGCCCAGCCCTGACCGGCCCGACCGCCGCCAGCCAGCTGCGTAATGGCTTCCTGAATCTGCCTCTTCCGCTGGGGTGTGCGGAGATCCGCCCACTTCCCTTCTTCCCGCCCCTCGACACATTCCTGGGAAGCCCCGCCCTCCAGGTTGGCGTGGCTCAAATACTCGGCCGATCACTGGCTCCGTAGGCCTGCCATTCCTCTCAAGGACACACCTATTTGCTGGAACTAGCTTGGTCATTGGTCTAAAGGCGAGTCTGTCGCTTCAAGGCGTCCGCCCACAAGTTCTTTATTCACTTCCATTGGGAAATCAGTCTGTCGTTCAATTGTTGGTATCGCGACTATTACGTTGTTAAATTCTGCTATTTTATTGGTAGTTTAGGAGACTACTAGAAACCAGCCTCCTGATTTTGATTCGTGTTTTCGGTCTTGAGTCGTCAGTCCATTACATTTTCATTTTATTCAATGGTGCTAAGTGTGTCTTCTAACATCACAGTTGCCCTCATACAAATCTCATTTCCACTGAGAGCTACCTTCTCTTCTTACACAGCCGCTCCTCCCAGCCTCACCATTCCGCAGTCTAAATAGTGTTTCTGAATGGGAATTGGACACAGGGCCTTCTGCTCGCCTATTACCCAGATTCAGCCAATCCCCGCCTCTCTCAGTTTGAATCGACTCAGAGCCATCGTGGTGGCCCCGCCTCCTCATTGATTCC